CACTTAATCCCGCCAGGGATGATTACTGTATCTTTTCCGACCAAAATGCCAACTAAATGTTTTTTTTCCGTGCGGGACAACAAAATGTCTCTTTTCTTGACAACGCTTAACTTAGTGTACATTTTTGTAATTTTGCCTACACGATATCAGTCAACACTACATGAATCGTGATTTATGATTGATCTTACAAAGTCCAACAAACATCTTCCAAAGAAGATAACAGTAGTAACTCAAATATTGCCGTTAGGCCTTGTAACGGTTAAGCGAGTCAATTTGTCATATTATTAAACATATGAATTCTTATACTGTGAAACATCATAGTTTTATTTATATTGTTTTTATAAAAAAATCATTTCAATATAAAATATGTATATCTGTTGAAAAATCTGCTTAAAAATAACAAATATCAAAATATTGGAACATTTGGAAAACAATGGGGTATTATAGCAAACAACCCGACACACATCAATATTATTCTTTATTTCTATAACTTTATCTTATAACACTATATAGTGACAATAATTTCCTTAGGCGTGCTTATTATTCATTCATAGCCTACTGAGTTTGGAACTCTATAATTTAATCACGTGTATTCTCAAATCTTCGAACTTACATATAAAAAACCATATACTTATATAGACAATTTTGACTCGGATTGTAAATTTGATTATTTAAACTAGTAGAGTGTGACACTCTATTTTCTTGGTAATAATTAAATTTAGTCACAAAATTTTGAAAGGAAAAAAAAGGTCCAAAGAAAGTAAGGAAATGGGGGAGATAGCGCTCATGAGGGTATCGTGTCCCTCAAATTTGCATGCTTTCCTTTAATCACACTTTCAACACTCTTGTAGGGGGGAAATTCCAACTTCTCCACCAGACTTCAAAGCCACACCATTATGTAACATTCCAAATTTCCAATACTCTTGTGCGGGGAAATTTGTTTTACCTTTTCTCTTCACCTTTTTTACTGCCCCATTAAACTTTTAAAATAAGAAGTAAAAAACAAAATGGCAGAATATCACAGCAATCATCCAATCCCCTCCATAGGAAACAACCATCATATCCCCCAACAATCCCTTTTTTCATAAACCTTTGAAACCTGTGATCACCTTCTAAAGATTTGATTTTTCTCCCCTCCCCAAAATTCTTTTTTTCCTTCAAATAAAAAAACCCTTTTTTTTTTCTTTTTCTTTTATTCAGCTTTTTTTTTTCCACCCCTCAGCCAGTTTAAATACCTCACTCCCATCTTCACCTAATTTCATAAACCTGTCTCCATGGATCCTTCGAACTCCGTCAATGGCTTCTACAATTTCCTTACACGGGGCATAGACGACCTCGAACGCGTGTTCTGTTCGAGCAGTTTCATGTCCGTCCAATTCCTGCAGAGGGCTTTGGCCCTTCTGAGGTCTCTCCACAGCCAGATGACGCTTTTGGTCCAGAAACTCCAGTTGCCCGTCGGCGAGAAGTGGCTCGACGAGTACATGGACGAAAGCTCCAAGCTTTGGGAGGTTTGCCACGTCCTCAAGAATGGAGTTTCGGGCCTCGAGAGTTACTACGCGTCGGGCCTCAACGTCATTGCCTCTCTCGACGGCCATCGCCGCCTGACCCCGCAAATTTCTCGTCAGGTAAGTATGAAAAGGAAAATAAAAATCGAATCTTTACCGTCTCACGTATTTATTCTGTTAAAATACTCTGTGAGTAGGATTTCAAGATTCGATTTTTAGCACTTTTATTCTCTTACTTGGTTGTTTTGTATGAGCTGTTTGATTGATTTATAGCATTTTATAAAATCAGAAAAAAAAGATCCCTTTTCTTTTCCCTCCCTCTCATTTTACTTTTACTAATTCATTTGAAATTCTTTGATCCAAAAACAGGTCATCCGGGCCATATCGGGCTGCAGAAGGGAAGCAGTGGGCCTGGAGCAAGAAAACCGGTCCCTAATGGAAACAAGAATTGAGCCCCTCTCATTGAAATTCGACGAGAAAGTCGCAATCGAGTCGAAGCTCAACGGGTTCAATGGGTTTCGAGGCGTGCTATACGCCATGAGAAATGTGGGCTCACTCTTGCTCACGATTTTGCTGCACGGGCTAGTTTATTGCTGGCCTCACCCGAACTTATCGTCAAACGGGTACGAACAAGGGAGGCTGTTTTTCGGGTCGGCCTTTATGGTATCCACGGCCCGTTTGCACCAACGGGTCGTATCAGAGATTGACCAGGTTGCGGGCCGGGCCGGAGTTCTGCTTTACGAGTTCAGGAGGTCGAGGGCTGCCATGGATGAGCTGAGGAGTGAGCTTGAGAGGAGGTGCTCACAGGGGACTGTGGTGGAGTGGGAGGCTGAGGTTGGGTTGAGGGAGAGGGTTGAGGGGCTCAAGTGCAATTTTGGAAACTTGAGGGCTGGGACTGAGAATATGATTGGGCAGCTTGATGATTTCTTTGATGAGATTGTTGAGGGTAGGAAGAAGCTCTTGGATTTCTGCAGCCATAGGTAGGGAGGTTTTATAAATGATTTAAGTAACTTTTTTCTCTTTTGGGTTTTATTGTTTTGAAGAAATGGTGAAGGGGGAAAAAAATTGAAAGAAGGATGCAAATTTTATGAGTGTAGGGGAAAGTGGTAACTAGTAGTTTGGTTGGTTTGTAATATTTTGGTAAGGGTTTCTGTTTTGTATGCCTATTTTCTTTATAAATTGTGAGGTGTGGCGGCATGACTATTAGGGGGATCGATTCGCTATAATTTTTATTAAAAAAAATGCGTATTTGTGTTATGAAATTTCTTACTTCTATTTTATTTTCTTAGATTATGAGATTTTAAGTTTAAAGTGTGCACATATGTTAAAAAAGTATAGTTGCCAAACCTGCTGACTCAATACTCACTGTTTTAATCTACAGCAGCTAAATTTGGGAGCCACCTGCAGGGCAGTCTTTGTTTCAAGAGCCTTAAGAGGACATCTGTTGTGTGAAAAAGAGGGAATGAAGACAATAATAATAATAATAATAAAAAAAAAAAAAAAAGTGGGTTTTATGATAATCAAGCATGAGAATTCAATGGCTAAGATGTTTTCATAAATCAAAGTGGTAAAAACTAAAGTGGGCTAATGAAGATTTCAACCAAGCATAAAAAGTGGAAGCTCACTATTCAGCTATATTGGAAAAAATGAAACATAATAATACTATTTGTGAGATTGTGTTGTTATTGCTGGATTAGTGACCTAGTGATATATGTGATATGATTTGGCGGAAGTAAGAATAAATATAATAAATAATTTAGACTTCTTGTAGCTTGAAAGAAAAGTTTTTTTGGCATTATTTTACAACACAATCATGCATTGGATAAATAGTGCTAAGGTGAAAAGATGAAAGTGGAGGCTTTGGAGCAGTAGGAAAACACTGTTAGATTCCTGGATTTGGCTTTAATGTTATAAAGCAGATGCATTTTATTTGCCCTTTGAGAAGCTTTTGTCTGATTCAGTTCCCTCTGAAAGCTATGGGTTTGATGATGAAAGTTCTAATTATTCAGAAAAATTAAATTAATTTTCCTAGTAAAATTATAAATGTCCTAATATTGATTTCTATTTACAATTTTTACTTGTAATTTCATAAATCATTCATATTTTTTCTTCTCTTTTTTAAATAAAGAAAATGTCCTTCTCACTATCTGATAACTCACCAGAAGAGAGTTAACCAATAGCACACATCAAATTCAAGATGATTTTATTCTCTTGCTGCTATTTTCTTACCCTTATTTATGGGTGGACTGTGCAGGTAAAACCAAATAATTATATAATAATGTTAATATTATAAAAATTTAGTCACTTTCTAACCAGATCCCATGCTTTTTGTCCCTTAAACCAGAAATTCATGCCATGCTTGTGCCATGAGGAGGAGTCTTGCTTAAACAACATATGTTACTCCTTGTCTGCAAATAACTTTTTTTTTTACTTTAAATTAATAAATAAAGTATTCAAGAAAAAACATCCACAATTAAAGAGTCAAATCTATCCAAAATTTTGGCAACAATCTATTTTATATTTCGTGTTTCAAGTTTCAATTTGTATAGTCTTTCAATGATGAGAACACAAAATCAGACCCAAGTGAAGTGCGTGAGATTACAGCAGTTATAGATAATAATCCACCCTTAAGCTGTGGCTTAATTACACAAGAAACCAATACATTTTAATCACTCCTCAAGGTATCACATATTGCATTTTCAAGATATGGAGTGCAATTTTGGAAGATAAAAGGTTAAGAACATAAAGGGGCAGAGCAACTTATCAGGTCCTTTTTTTTCTTTTGGAATTTGTTTAAACTTCAAGGGTGACTTTGTAATTAATCATACAATGCACGAGGAAGGGAAATAACTCAAGCCAGGACAGTTGATATCTTGTTTGGGCCAAAATGCCTAGGATGTAGTTGGGATGCTTTTAATTCCAACAAATATACCAACCTTTCATTGAGATACCAAGTGTCGTTTTTACTGTTGTATCAACACACACCCATGTGGGTGTGTGTGATCGAACGATACCCTCACTGGTAGAGTCGAATTTTGTCTTCTCATCCTATCTATACAGCTTCAAACTTAAAACATGAATTTAATGCAGTGTCTGAGCTAAAAAAAAAAAAAAATCTGATTATTTCATATCTGAGCTCACAAACCAAACCAAAAAACATACATTCACCTAATTATTCCAGATAAAAAGCCACCAACTTTTTAACTCTTTAATGTAACAAAAAACCATGTTTCTAAATTCTAATGCTCCTTCTGTTATTAATCACCGTTGTATGAGATTTTCATTCTTTTTATGTCTTGTTATGCACAGTTTTATTTTTTCTTGTTTTACCCTGCGTTCACCATCATCTCTGAGTGAAATCATAAACCACGACAAACCCTTACTGTAAGTCTAAACCGATAATCGAACAAACAACAGTTAACAGTAAGGGGCAATTGAAATTTTTTTGTAGTCTCCTTCATCTCCAATACTCTGCATTCATGTCTTTTCACACAAATCAAAGATTGAACCAACTCAATTCCCAAAACAAAATCACATTATTGCATAAGCAAAGTTTCCNAGAACACATAACATTTCATAAATTTCTCAACAAACACCATCACAAGTTCTTAAAAGCCGACTCGCGCCCTTGCTTCGAAGGGGTCAGCTTCGCCAGCAAGGCCTTGTTATGACAGTGCTCGGCATCCACAAAGTAGAAATCCCCATTGGCCTTGAACGACACAAAGGGGCGGTTTGTCTCGGGTGGCCTAATGTCCGCAAACTTGATGGTCCTGGGTGCGTACGTGGCAAGCCACGTCATCATCTCAACCTCAAATTCGTCCGACCCTGGGCGCCACCTCAGCCGGTGCACGTACGGGCTCACGAACCAGTGGAGTGCAGCTGTGGTCGAGGCGCTCAAGAAAATGACTGTTGAGGCCACGGCCCCTTTCAGGATGACGTTCATGTCAGGGGAAGTCATGAAGGTGATGACGGGGCCTAGAGAGACCGAGAGGCAGCAAGTGGAGAGGGAGAGGAGTTTTACTTTCTTGATTGTGTTTGATATGGGCCCGTGGTACACGATACCGGGCTCTTCATCTTCAACGTGCGACTCTTTGCGTGGCCCAATTGAAATTTTGGATTCGTCTGGCTGGGATAAGAATCGGGTTTGGAGGAAAATGTTGTTAGGGGTGATGGGATGGGCGCGTTGACCAGCTCTGGCCAGGAGAGGATGACCTGATGGGGGTGAATGTGAATTTTGTGAATAACGATGANATGAAGATGCAAGACTAGATAAATGATAGGAATAACGAGTGTTTATGTGTGAAGATATGTTGACACTGGGCCGGGTGAGCTACTTTCTGCATCTCAGCTAACAATCAACAAATTCGGAATGTATGTTAAACGCTAAGATCTTATAACTACTGATAATCACTACGGCTAAAACGAGCTTCCACAAGAAATTGGTTTAAATAAACTTCATCATTTCAACCCAGTTTTCACCATCTGCTTGGCAAAATTTTAAGAATTGCTTGCAGGTAGCTTGACAAGTTTTACCATTCTTTTCAGTGAAAGAGAAAATACCCACACACACACACAAGAGAAACACATTTCTAACTAGGTTCTCTTAAACAAGGCGAGTCTTTGGAGCCTAATTTCGTCAAAACATTTTGCATCATAACGCAATAAAGACTCAGATTTTTGTACCTTGTAACAACCTCATCTTCCCTGTGAAAGGAATCGTAACCTCGAAAATACATAGCAAGGGGAAAAACAAGTTTGCGTTTTTAGGACAACAATCAACAAAATAAAGTGAAAAATTAAAGATCTAGCATATAACAGCAAAGGGTAAATTAAGCAACAAGAAATGGAGCAGGAAAAATGTTGAAGAGGGGACCTGAACGGAAGCTTGTTGACGATTGAGATCGAAGCAGATGAAGCAGAGCATTTCTCGCCATTTTCGCCCCCCGATAGAGAAAAACCCTCAAATCGATGAACTTACGAGGGTTTTAAGTTCTACTTGTCGTTTAGGTGCGAGAGGTTCCGCGTTCTACACCCGCGAAGCCCAATTCCCAATTTCATTTTATACTTTTTATTTTTACTTTTGACAAGAAAGTGTTAGTTACTTTTAACATTGGAAAAGTCGCGGTTTACGCCTTCATAGCATCTTTTTTACGATGACAGTTGCCTTTCGTGAGTTCGAAACAACCATTCTCCGGCGAGATCCAAGATGGAGTCTTTTGCCGGTGACTCAGTTTTCACCTCCAATTGGGATTACTTTGTCTTTCTTCTTCTTCGTCCCATTCTCGCTGTTGTCTTTAGCCTCTCCGTGCTGTTCTCCGGTGAACCCCTCTCTCTCGATCTCTTGATCTATATGGTTTGTGTTTAAGTCAATTGTTGGGGTATTTTACTGTGTTTTTTGATCTGTGTTGTGAAATTTTACCTGCTAGCGTACCTCTTTTGCTGTATGACTCTTGACTTTGGCTACTGAATATTAGGCCTGCTTCTTTTAGAGTATTTGTGTTCAAATTTTCTCATTTTTGCTGGAAAGTAAATTGAAGTGAACCAATTGGCATGAGTCTTTCCAGATGAGTGGATATTTTCTTTAATTGGTGGGTTTTGTGTAACTTGGCCTGATATTTGAACATGGAGTCTTGAAGAAACTGCTCTCAGGACTTTTGAGCCTTTTCCAATCTCTTGTGGTTGAACAATAATCTGATTTTGTTTCCTCGGCATGGGATTTGTGTGTTTGTTTAGGCTGGTTCTTGGCATGGAAGCTGGTTCTGGTTCATGTGCCCCTGGTGCAGGAGATATTTGGTCTGAGGAAAAAACCCGTCAAGCCGAAGCCAGCTGGTAGAAGAAGATTCACTCAATTTTATAACAGTGTTAATGTCCAAAATCCCAAATTGAAGTGGTAAACTCTTCGAAGGCAATCATTTTTATCATGTATTTCAGTTGAATTGATGAATTTGTCTGTGGAATGCAGTTCTCTGGATTTCACCTGAATTTATACTTGTTGCTCAAGTATTTGGAATTTTGAAGTAGTGCAAAATAGTTGGAATGTTCTTGTTTAGAGCTGAGAATGGTGCTTATGACTTTATGGAAAGTTAGTACCTTGAGTTTGAAGTACTATATATACTTTACGGGTGGAAAATATCACCAAACGAGCATTTCTCTTGGGCGTGCCAAAGAAAATTGTTTGTGTCACCAAATTAGTTGATACAGTTAGTTATCAGCTTGTTTTCTGGTTTAAAGTTGGGACAACATTTGATTTTCGCCTTATGAGTCATGCAGTATGAGATAAAAATGTGTTTCACAAGAATATGTGGTGATTGTCTGCAATTTTGTTACTTAGATATGCTGTCTAATGTGTTGAGTGCTTCCATATCCATTGAATGATTTCGTTATGCTCTATAATGATATAACTTTTTTTTGCTTGAATTCAGAATGTCACAACAGATTGAGTTACTGTCGATGAAGCCATTGGGTGTAATTTTGTGACGGTAACCTAATGGTGGCTACAAGAGGAGTACTAAAGCAATTGAAGCTATGGCTGAGAAACATTTCTCTGTATTAAATATGTGCTTGTTGATGGTTGTAAACAGGTCTAGACATTTGTCCTTGTATAGTCATTNTTGTATGTAATAAATGAATTAAGCAGGCAATCAAACAAGCCTGGATTTTATATTGCATTGTATTTTTGTGCAAAAATTGTCCCTGTCTGTTAAATTTTGTGCCACAGTTATTTTCTCGAGATGGAACAACTAAAATAGATGCACATTTAGTTGCCACATAGAAAACGGAAGTACATGTTCTGATGTTGTCTATTTTTGTACGTAAATTTTTACACAAAAGATGTTACAACCTGCTCCTAAACTTCATGCCAGATCATAAGGAAAGAAAAAATAGATTCTGCTTTGACAAAAGATGGCTTCTAAAGCCTGGAGTAGCTGATATTATCAATAAAGCCTGGCGTTTGCCTCAATTTGGTACTCCTATCCTATGCACTGCCTGCAGTCCAAAATTAAATGCACCGAAATTGAGCTACTCAAGTGGAGTAGTAGTTTCAGATCTGAAAACTCAAAAAAGTTTGAGAGGCTGAACAAGCAACTTGAGATTGGCGGGAGGATTAAGAGATTGAAATCTGTGGGATACCATCAAAGTTGAGCTTGATGCAACTAACAAAATCCGAAGAGATGGTTTGGGAGAAAAAATTCCAGAATCAATTGGCTCAAATTGGGAGACAAAAACACTCAATTCTTTCATGCTGAGACTACTCAGAGAAGGAAAAGAAATGACATCTCCAGACTGCTCAGAAGGACAGAACCTTCTGTGACTCCATTGAAGACACTGCATCCTGCATTGAAGATTACTATACTGCTCTCTTCAGTTCAGAAGTCTCTATGGGTGGTCCTCACATCATGCAAGGGATTCCTCATGTTATCAGTGATGAAGTTAACTCTAATTTAGTGGCATTAGTAGATGAAGCTAAAATCAAAGAGGCCCTCGTCAATATTGACCCAAGCAAAGCCCCTGGATTGGATGGTATGTGTAATATCCCATTCAGTAATTAATAAAAGTAATTATTTTAGTTCTAAGTTTGAACTAATTACTTTTATTGATAATGCTCGTTACTAGCTCCGAGCCAGTTGTTAAATTATTCAGTTATAAGTTCGACTTTAGTCGAAAGCATTCTCAGTTAAATTATATTAAGTAATTGAGGCAGTTAATAAGTTAATCAATTTTAAGTTCGACTTTAAGTTAAAAGTATTCTCGGTTAAGTTTTATTCAGTAACCGAGTCAGTTTCGATAATTAATCATTTATTTTATAAATGGATAATTATTAGTCGGGATTAATTATTTCAACTCGACGACATAATGAAAGTCGAGAATATTTCGAGAAATCGTCGAAGTTGAGTCGCGATCGAAACCGAAAAACTTTTATGTAAAATTTTCACATGAGAGTAATAATAATTCATTCCAAATATTAGTAACTAGCCAAAAGTTGCGACACTATTATCGAGCTCAATTTCTTAAGTTTAATCAAGTCTTTTAATTTATTTATGAAGTTTAACCCTTAAATGTTTGGAGAATTAATGTGTTAGATACATAAGGTTATGGCTAACCTCATGATTTACACTTAAGAAAAGTTAACAAGAGCAAGTGGGTCTAGAAGATTAAAGGAATTTGGTTCAAGTCATTTTTTTTACACTTAATTCTTGCGTGTCATATTATGATATTGCTGAGCCTAATTGCATTGGATAAGTCTAAATAAAATGCTTAGTCATTATATAGTCAAAGGTCTAGCATAAATAATGTTTTAATAGTTTTGGCATCTAGTGGAATGATTAAGTATCATAATGGCTATATAAACGTCATTTAGTGGACACATGTTCCATGATAATTAAATATTTAGCCACTTTCTGCACAATATTTATTAAAAATAGTTATCTTATGCTCAAGATTTGAAGTCAACATTAGAATTTATTGTGGTTTAGTCTAAGAAGTTGTCTTTTGGGACAAGCAAATGTCGTGTCTAATTCGCATTTGTGCCATATTTTATCAAGTTTCAGTTTCTTTATTTAAGTACAAATTGATTTCTTAGTTATCTTGTGATTAATTATTTAATATGACTAAAGTTTAAGAGATGGACATCTAGACTAATTCTCTCATTTGCCATTAATAATTTATATAAGGACAAGTGCCCTTAAATTAATTCACTACCTCTTAAAATCATGCATAAATACAGTTCACTCAGCGGAGAAGAGTGGATTATGAGATTTCTCATATTACTACAAAATTCACTATAAAAAAAAAAAATGAGAAAATAGCCGAATGATGTTAATGCCGAGAAAAGAAAAATGAGTTTGAACCTCACCTTGTATATCCGAGTGTACTTATACCAACCTGACTTCAAGGAGTTCTTTGAAGGTTAGAATAAGTTTATTAAGTTGTTTTTCAGTAATCATATGATATATTAAGAATTATCATGTGGTTAAATCAACACATGTTCATGCCTTAGGAGTATTTTTGAATTTTAGAGCAATTGAGACTTAAATTTTATGTTGGTAGAAGTTTATAAAAATTTTTAGTCATCATGTGATATTTTAAAAATTATCATGTGAATTATTCATCATGTGCATGCTTAATATTTAGTTTCGAATTTTTGAATTATTGAGCCTTAAATTCGAATTTATTATAGAGTTTTGAATTAAATTATGAAAATTGGCTGGGGAAAAACCTTCAGTAAATATAGTCATATATATATAAGTTGAGTAATTAGATAAGGTTCCAGTTCGATTAAGTAAAACTAGTCGGTAGTTCAAGTTATTTTGGTTCGAGTATTTCGGTCCGAGTTTTATTGCGAAATTGGAGTATATTTCCGAGCCAAATCAGTTTAGTTAAGAATATCAGTATTAAATTCTGGACATAGTATTATTTTTAGAGAACCATTAGAGTGTTCCATTATATCCGGATAAGTTATCTGATAAAGTCGAGCATCTTAGCATATTATTGAGTATACGAGCATAGTACTTAGTATATTTGTTTATATTTGATGGAACTTGCAGATACAGTACCAGTACAGCACTTATCGTTTTTTTCAAACGATTGCAAAGACAAAAAGGTGGGGACCCTGAATGGGTATCACGTTGAGTACGATATTGATGTCATAGGGGATGAGGAGACCATCAGTTGTCTCAAAAGTTATATCCCGAAGTTAAGGTTTATTACGCTTGGGATGAGGAGGCATTAATTTGTCTCATAAGATTATATCCTAAGTTCTGGTGGAGGCGAAACGGGCCTTAGAAATATCCATCAGAGTGTGCACACGTACCGATTAACCATCAGCCAGAGAAATGAAAGTTTAAGTTTAAGTTGCCGATCAGATATCGGTTTATGATTGTCCATATTCGTTACTCACCCCCATGAGTTTTAATTTCAGGTACAGGTTAACGAGGAGGTGTGAGTGGAGCTGTATTGGTGTGGATCGTGGACGAAGATGAAGACAAGCTTTAATATGGACATTTATAAAAGTTTGTATATTTAACCACGTTTCAAGTATTTCCGCTACGCACATTAATTATTGAACTTGCATTTAAATGAATTTTAGATTTAAAGTTTCATAATTATGATAATTATGATTATGTATTTTAAATGCAAGTTTAATTGAAAATCTGTGTTTATGTTTCAAAGAAGTATTAAATGATAGTTTAAAGAGAAACAGATTTTCAAGAAGATAAGTTGAGTAGCATCCCGAGTTAGTCGCAAAAGATTTCGAAATAGTTATAAGTAATTTCGAAGTAAAA